TTTCTCTGCCAGTCTTACACGAATGCAGGAAGTCTACTCTCCTTCGCCCATTCAAGAGAAATGCTTGTGCCTGACTTGGCAGCAGTAGACCACAAAGAAGGAAAAAGTGTATATCAGGCTTCGTCCAAAATTCTTTCGTCAACCAGAATTGACAACATATTATCAGGACATTCCAGCCAGAACATTTGGAAAAACAAGACTAACATTTACTGGCATCTCACAACATGGATATACATACTCCCAGAATTCTGTGGTTATCAATAAATTACAACCACTTTGCTGCTCTCTTCAGGGGTCACATCGGTGGATTATTGGCCTCCACCTTCCATCAATTCCTATTTTCTGTAACTACACCCTGAATATTCTTTGGAGTACTTTTTAGTTTTTTTCTGCCTCAACCATGAAGAGGATCAACTCTAAAGAAATGTTCAAAATACGTCAAGCAGGTAAATCCTTTCCGAAGTTGAGTTCAAACCCTGGTAAAAGACATTCCGAAGGCTAGCCTGTCTTAACAACCTTCAGAAATACACGCAAGAAAAGATGGTCTTAGTGAAAACAGTTTGTCCTGTGGCTGCAGTGAAGCTGCCTGGTGTACAGTACATGTGTGTTCCATAAGAAATGGGAAGCAGATAATTGCCCAAGCACAACATAGTTTACTCATCAATGTTTCAAATCAGAGACACGAGGAAAAGAGTAGAGGGAGATATGTGATTTATGTCGACACACTGATTAAATTATCTGCCGGTCTTTTTCTTCTTAATTTACACACTCAACATGGAGTCGAACTGTCTCAAAAGAAAATAACCAACCATCAACTCTGAGAGAGAAAAAAAGATCCATACATCTGCTTCACACATAAAGTTCCTGCTGCATTCTTCTGTCTGCCAAAGGCTTTTAGGGATGCACAGAACTTGATGGCTGAGTGGGTTTAGCGTGTCGTTGCAGAGTGGGAGTCGGAGTTGGAGACAGTGTCGACTCATCCTTTTGACAGAGATGTACCACTGAGAGCGTGACAGAGCCCCGCGTTTCCAACACCATCTGGATAACATATCAATAAACTGTGAACATCGATGTTCAGAAAAACCACATATAATGAGCTCAGCTGCTAGTTTATGAGATCAGCAAATAGAGAATTTTATCTTATTTTTTATGAGATCAGCAAATAGAGAATTTTAAAAATTAAAATAAAAAGAAATTAGAAATATATCAAGTTATCTTTAACGTGTCCCAGGAAGTATGTGGGGACAAAGAATGTTCTAAGATCATTTTTAAAAATGTATTTATGTAAATAATGAACCTATGGATCCTTATAGGTCATTTGAGAAAAGAACAGAAAAATTATTTGCAACTCATTGTTGGAGGTGTACAGTTCCTTGAATATGAATCTACGTTAAGCCCAGACGTCAGAACAGAACAGATAGACATCTCAGTAGCAGGCAGGGCAGGACAAGCACCTACACACTCTGCCTGTGGGACGGAGGAACTCTCTTTCCAGGCCTGAAGTGCCTGCAGTGTCAACAGTGTGTCTACACCCAGACAGTTCCACCAGCTCCATGATTTATAGCCTCTCTGAGTGTTATTAAAAGGCTAAATGCAACTCCAAACACATCTCACATCGTCCCTGCCCTGCAGAGGACCTTTTATGTTCAGAGGTGAATGCCCCACATTCAGAAACACTTACAGTTTATGTGGCTGGAAAACACTGTTGTCAAATTATTTTTATGAGCATGTCACAGACAATTACTCCGGGGCTCAGGAGTAAAGGCGCTGAGCGGAATGACAGAGACACTTCTGGAAATATGCTGTAGCTGCAGCAGCCACGAGCTGCATCATAAATGACCCTTCCCTTAAAAATGTTTTTAATTACATTATATGGTATTTCCAAGTTTAAATTTGATTATAAGTAAATGATATTGCAAAATCATGTGACTTTTGTCTGATTTCTTTTTTCTTTAAGTTAATAAAAAATAAACCCACATATCAGTGTTCACTTCCTCCATGGAAAAATGACACACAGTAATAATTATCTTGTGATTTGTTTTGGGGTTTTTTAAAACTGAGCTGCAATTTACAGAAAACTGCTGCAGAGGAGAAAAAGGTTCGACTGGCAAATAAGGCTGCGCTCATGACCTCATGACCTTTCTGGGATTAGGACCCAGAGGCAATTAAGTGAGCATGTAATGGTAGAACCAAGTGTTGTGTTTTATTAAAAATAACATGGACATGAAGTTGACGGCATTTGGTTGTAAGTCAACCAGGTTCCAGTTGAAACCATAGACTATGCAATTAAGAAGTATCAACATATTTTTTACGGTAAAAGAAGGAAGTCTCGTTAATAAAACAAAATTATTTTTTCTAAGAGCTGATTTAATGTCTTACTCATTCAAACAGGAGGCAAATTGTGTAAATTCAGATCATCTTTAAAGGAAAACAAAAGGTAAAGCACAATAGAGGAGAGTTCATATTAGTAGAATCTTGATCCTGTTTAGAGGAAAATAAAGCAAAATACATGCATATGAGCAGAATCTGAAGTTTACAGTACAGTGATCGACATCTGGACTCTGAAATAAAACCCTGATTATATTCACTGCGTAACCACACACGGTGTCCCATTATGTTTCCCATCATTCTTTATCTCTAATTTCCTCTGAACGGGATCAAGATTTTAAAAAATATTTTTTATTGAAGACCTGAAATGAAAATTAAACCACAGACTCATGGATAATGTAAACTGTATAAAATTTTACAGTGCTTAACAATATTCACCACACCCGCTCATTTATACATTAACCCCCTCCCCAACTGGGAAACTTTAAAAAGTTTGACCCACAGTGACCGACTTCTGATGTCTGTAAACCACGCAGCCGCCACAACTTCCAGGTCACGTTTGCTCAGTAGCCTCGGACATACAAGCTCCACTATTTCCACCAACCACTCATCACAGGGTGTTGCTGTCTCTGCTCTTCACATATGATTACAGTTAAACCACAAGGCTGTTTGTCTTTGAATATTCCCATCGCAGTGAGCCAGGGGAGAGACAAAACTCCCAGTGTTATCTTCCTCAGACGCGTCATCTTCCTGGGGACACGGAGGTTATGTTTGTGGATGCAACGCTGGAACAAAGCATCTGTTTATTGTGTCTCTGTCCGCGGTGAAGCCGTGATTATGCGTACGCGGTGAAGTATCAGAATCGCCGTCAGATTATCTCAGTGGGAGTGAGATTTAAACCTTTCGGCAGATTTTCCAGTGGGACAATGTGCAAAGCAAATCAGGCCTGGTCTCAGAAGAACAGTACGAGCATATAAATGTAATTTTAGAGGAAAATTTCACCCATAAACTGCAGCATGGGGGAAAAAAAGACCTCCATACCAAAGTAAGTCTGTGCTCCCATCTCCTCCATATCCAAACATAAAACACCACTTCAGGAAGTTATGGCCGAGTCTTCCAGTTAAGAAATGTGGATTAACATTCCTTCTTTTTCAAAGCCATGATACAGGAGAAGAGACGGCGAGGCCATAGAAAAGTGCTTTACGTTCATTGCTGCAGTAAATGTAAATTGTACATCACCATTGTAAATATCAGCCGAGAGCATTAAAGGAGGACAGCGTTAGTCCAAACAATCCTTCGAAAGACAATTTATCACCACCCATTAGGGACAAGAGGACCGTCTCATACGTACTACAAACTCTGAAGACAGCGCAGGGAACAGACAGCCGTCTTCATAAACAATGTTATTTATATTGAAAACCAATTCCATCATTCTTACATTTGTCAACCAGACACCAGTGACATATACCATTAGGCCTGGAAATGTAAATGAAACAGACTCTGGTCACCCAGGCCTGGTGTGACTCTGAATGACCACAAACTCAGGTGTCTCTTTTTTTTCTAAAATAAAGCAAAAAAAAAAAAATGACTGAAAAGATCAAATTGATTGATTGGCTTGAAATATGATGAGGTCTCTACAGACACTATTTTCTATTTTATTTTTTACCATCTCCACTGTTTTCCTACATTTTTCTTCTGTAAGAAAAAGTAAAATCTTATAAGAAATACTGTAGTTGTTGCCATAGCAACTGTATACATCTTCATAGGAGATTAGTCAAAAACTTTAACTGTTAAAATCAGTTGCTTTGGAAAATAAAGCCACAAGTACCAAACACCTGGCCCGGGGGCCACTTCTGGACCTCAACATCTGGCCTGAGATGACATGAAAATAATAATTAAGCCCCTGAGGTCATTTTTGAAATATTGTGAATAATAATTATATTTTTTTTATTAGCAGTTTGTGCCACTTTTTTTGTACTGAACACCAAACTCTGATGTGCCTCTCCAAAGAACTGACGACAGCAGCGCTGGCCCTGAGCTCATTTGAGGGTGGGACCCCTGGTATGTGGGCAAATTTTAACTAAATTCCTATTCTTTTACCCCTGGTATGTGGGCAAATTTTAACTCAATTCCTATTCTTTTTTTTTGTCCACTTTTCAGTGACTAAATTCAGTCTACGTCTAACCTTAAACATCCACCTTTTACTAACTAATGTTAGGTGGGGGCAACTCAGGTTGCAGCAGCTGCACCTTTTCAGTGGAACCTCATGCATCCCTTATCTGTTAATGTGGACAGAAGCACAATAGGAAACCCAGCTGACTCGGTCAGAGCCTCCCATTGTCTGCCAATGGAGTCAAGCCTTAACCCGTGCAGAGCTTTTACAATGACAATAGGACGATCATCTCCAAAACCCACGAGCATTAACATGAGAGTGGGGTCTCAATGAGAGCAAACAGTCTCCCTTAAACCGACGGAGGAGCAGAGTGTTGGGGCCCCAAAAAACAAACACCACTAAGGAAAACAAACAAACAAACAAACAAACAGCGCAGGAAAGGTGATCTACTGGTCCTGGACTCCAGGTACAACCATCACGGTTGACAGATCGCATCATTGTGGGGAAAGTGTGAAGAGAATCTGAGGAGGGGGGATATGAAGTTTTAAGTTGGACTCACCAGACGCGCTCATGTCCAGGAGGCCTTGGAGGAGCAGGCTGATCCAGAGCGTCCTGACGCCTGGACATCTCCACTGACGCTGGCACGCCGCTGCCCGACTGGGATACATTCCTCCGGCTCTGGGTTAAAACCTTCGTCCGCTTTTAACATCCACTGATCTCACACTCCTTCAAAACTTCGGGAACTTCTCCAAGATAAATCTCCAGATAAAGTGTCTTCTCAACTTGTGCGCTCCTTCAAAACGCAGAGGAGAAAAAGGCAGAAGAAAAAACTAGGAGGAAATAAAAAAGAAGAAGAAGAAGAAGACGTGTGGAGGAAAGTTGTCTCCGTCTGTCCTGGACTCAGCCTCTTCCCTCACTTTCTCTCCCTCTGCCTCGGCTTCTGTCTCTGCTTCCCTCCACTGTGCGCAATCCTTCCTACAAACACACCGCAGGAGCCACATGGCTCTCATTAGCCACGTGTCGCCACCACGTGTTCATTACAGGAACTGACGGAGGCCACTCAGGCATTTAAATCAGAAAAATGCATGGAGATGGATTCAAAGACCCCGGGACTTAAAGAAAACCTTCTGTTTTTTTTTTCTTTCCACACTGAAGGGTCTGTCCTAAAAGAGACCAGCTTCTGGAGAAGACTTTATTAATCTCCATAAAAAAATCACTTCTCACAGCAGCAGGGTTGATATAACATAAACCAACATGTTACAAAGAACAACAACGGTGTGAAATAAGCAGTTTTTTGTCCAAATTCCTACATTTAGTTCTTTAAAAAAACTCTTTCAATGCCTTATTTTTGAGGCTTTTTTTTTTTTTTCAACGCCTTATTTTTGAGGCTTTTTTTTTTAAAAATCCTCAACTAAGATAAGTTTGATTTTTTTTTTTACAAGTTAACATGTGTTTAATACAAAAGTAGTTAATGTACAATTGTACATAAATACCTGCGTCACTAACCTACGCTAACACATTGTTAGAGAGTCATAACCTAGGACATAATATGACTTATATTGGGAGCCAAAAACGCAACACAAACGAAAGTAAGTGAATGTATCATAATCCAAATTATGAAACAACTCGAATGTAAACAAACTGATGATTTTTTTCTATATGGACTTTGAATGTTCCCCTTGTTCGGCTGGGTTCTTTCCCGGTTCTCTCTCTCTCTGAGCGCAGATGAACTGTTTAATTGATTAAAGGTGTGAATGTGAGTGTGAACGGTCGTTTGTCCCTGTGATGAACCGGCTCACTTCTCCTGTTAACATAAACACCAGGAACATTCCAGGTGGTTCTCCAATCACCGAGTCGCGGGTACCAGTTTGGGGTATAAAGGGAGCATTCGCCAAAGAAAAAAAAAGGATCTCTAGCGCCCCCCTTTGTGCAAAATTGGGAATATTTGTGGCTGTCACTATGTCAACGCTGATGACTAAACAAACAATCAGATACTAATACACTTTCCACTGCCAGATGTGGAGCTATTTGAGAATATTTGTCATCTAAATTGACAAAATGAAAAAAGACAGAAATTGAGGAATGACAACTGAGACAGAGTCATAATAATTCCGCTGCTTGTATAATGAAAAAAGACGTATCCAAAATTAAAGGACAGGAAATAGACTCCAGGCCAGGTTGTAATGGTTCAGTAAGTGAACGTCGTAGAGTTAGAAGAACAGAGAACATTCCAGAGTCAGAATTTATATATCAACAACTCAGACTAAAATGATCAGCCACTGGTGTAGAGTCAATGTGTGATCTCACATTTCATTTTATTTAACTCAACAAACGTCTTCTTCGGTCTCTGCGATAGGAAAAATCAAAACGTATCTGACTGTGAACTCAGAGAAAGTCACTGTGGAGAAACTGGCTTGATGTTCTGAACCGTGTGCGGTTTTCAAGTCAACAACTCAATTCACAACTTTATCGTTGACTAGGACACCGTCCTTCGTATCTGTCAGCTTCAGTTTATCTAAAGGTGAACGTGATAATTTATTGAAATAAAAATGTAACTTTCATGATGGATGAATGAATGAGGCTCTGAAGTTCTCTTCAAACATCTCAGCGGTTTCCTGCACACGGACGACAGGCTCACACTGGCTGCACGCCATGGTGATTGTAATGGCCGCCGTTGTTCCGTTCTATTCTCAGACCTGACGACAGACTAGTAGATTTATATAAAATGGCAGATATGACTGTATGGTATTTTTTCTATTTTTAAACCTGAGGGTCACTGGTGTGGAGGCCCCAAATTTGTTGGCAGAAAAAGGAAGCGCTGCTGCAATCGTTATTTTGACGTAGAAATCTTTAGTTATGGCTTCGTTATTTCACTTAGTCAAAGCAGAGCGGCGGCCAAAATACTTTAACAGATTCAGACTGAGCTTCTTTTCAAAGTAAAAAGGAATGATTTCCACTGTTGTTTTAGTTTTCATTGGGGGGTTAGCCAAGAGTTAGCTTAAGTAAAAGTTGTCATTTAGAAAAAGCTAAATGACATAGAAGTGAAAGCAGCTGTAACGTCTAAATTTAGTCTCTCTGTGGAAAATTACTCACAGTATGTAAGTTAATATATACTGTATATATATATTTAATTATCAAACTATTAGTCCTGCCAGAAGTTTCATTGAAATTATACTGCATGAGATGCTTGTGTTTATCAAAAGTGTGCAAAAAGTAAGTAAAATAATTTTGGGGGGAAAATAAGCAACATTTGGTTTTAGGAAAAAATGTATTTAAACAAAACAAAAAAATAAAGTTGAAAAAAAAACTTTGATCCGATTAAGGTGCCATCATTGGCCCCTGCACCAGATATTGACTGTTCTAATTAAATCCTGGTTAAGCCTCCTCCATGTTCAGGAAGTTCTCTCCTCCTCTTTCTTCTTCTTCTTCTTCTCACTCTAAAACACTGTCTCACATGACACAGAGAACACAGACAGAATGAGCTGTGAGGAACCAGAGGGGTGAAGCCCACCTTCACATGGCAGAACCAGAGCCTGGGTCTTTTCCAACGTCCTCGCACAGAATGATGTCTTTGTCCTCAGCCTGGTAGAGGGAGCGGTGAACAGGACGTTCTTAAGACGTCCGGCTCTGTGCCAGCTCCGGAGAAAAAGCCATTTGGACATCTAATAGCTGCGGCGCTGGCCAGCTCCATGTACACCTTATTGTGATTACCTGCTGTAGTGACAGCCAATCCAAATACAGCCTGTCGGCCATTATAGGAGCAGAACAAGAGGAGTGGGCTCTGCACTGCTCTGCAGCGCGTATTCATGACAATGTAGCAATTAAACGCCTCATATTGTCAGACTCATACAGCACAGTGGTGTAAATTACAGTTAAAATATGTGTTTCCAAACTCTGGCTCAGGGTCCATTGGACAGCACATAGATTTTATTAGGACATACATTTTTCTACAGCTTTTGTTTTGCTTCCTGGAGTCATGTCCACAATGTTAAACTTTAGAAACCCCTGATCGAACTCAGGGGATGAAGGCGGATATACAAGTATATAAGGAGTGGCACAAAAGCATGTGATGGTGGTGCGGGACTTGTATAAGGGTTTAATTATTGTTAGCTTGGGGAGTAACTCTCAGCCTGTTACTGTTTACAAATGAGGATAAACACAGTATTCAATAAAACATGAAGTTTGGCAGACGACATTGTAACATGTAATGCCAGTAGGGGGCAGCCGGGGGAGAAGCTGGAAAGATGGAGGTGTTGTTAAAGTGAAAAAATAGAATCAAAACCAAGGAAATATCTTTATAACCAACTTTAAGTGATGTTTTATTTTTGTCTTTTAGCTTGATTTCAGGCTAGCCAAAAACTTGTTAACTTATTGTTATTTTTGCCAGGTTTGTGTTTAAGACAACAGGTTCCATTGGGACCCCACTGACTTTGTAACACAAAATAAATGTTATTCATTATGATGCTGACTCTTATTACACAACTCACGCAGCACTGACAGAAATAATTAGCTTATGGTTTTCGACGAGCTGAAGGAATGTCGTCAAGGAGGCTTTGACGGGTGTGTGTTTTTTTAAAGCATTCATTCCCCCTGGAATCTTTTCCCACCTCTTGGCTCACCCGCCGCAGCACAGGATCTTTGCATTTATCTGCAATAATTTCCCAGAATGAAAAGAAACTATTATTAATACCACACCGCAGCCTTCGCCTCTCTGGTGAAGGCTGAGCTTTTCAAACCCAGGTCTGCTAAAGCAATTACAGATGGCCTCAGCACAGCCAGGCACCAGCTGCTGTCGGCTCAGAAAGGTACTGTATTTGTAAGGTCGGTTTTTACTTGGGCGTCCATTGTGTCCTGACAACACAGTCAGTCAGACCGCTGGGAGAGAGAGAGAGGAAACTGGACCTCATCATGTCAATCATTTTTTGTTGATCAGTATTACAGTACTGCTTGAAGTCACTGATTTGTGCCAATGTCATTTTTTTAATGGGGATTATTATTATAATTAAATTATAATATTAATTTGACATTTGTTTTGTGAATGTGTTTATTTTATGAATAAAGCTTTTGATTATTTTTTTATTTTGTATAAGATATCCTTGTTCCGTTTAAAATAAAATAGGATTATTTTAAATAAAAATTAACAACTGAAAATACTTTGTTTTAAGTACTCAAGCTTTCGTGACTCTATTAAAATATATTTTTTCTACTACCTTCTGAAGAAATAAGGAAGCAGAGAAAAACCACACTGTTGTTAGTTAATATAAGTTTATATTTATTATTTCTTGGATGTGTTAATTGTTTAAGTCCTAAACGGTGGTTCATGGTTCACTTGGGGAGGGGGTGGGGGGGGGGGGGGGGGGGGGGGTGAGGTTGTCCTGCAGATGTTGAACAATGGTCAGAGAAGGACAAATGTGGGACAACAGTTAACAGTTAACACAGGACACACACTTGGACAGACACGGTCTACACACACAGGTCTCTGTTCCGTTAATGTCAATTCACTGCTGGAAACACAGCAGGGTGAGTTTCAGCTTGACGTCCAGCTCCCGAGGACAGTGTCACCCCCCCGTGGATGTTGAGGCAGTGCAGCGGAGGAATCATGTGATCACGGTGGGGCCGGTGCGACCAGTTCTCTCATGGAGCTGAGAAACCTTCAGAGCGATGTCCACCAGAGGAGCCAACATGACCTGGGTATAATATACACAGAGACAGAGAGAGAGAACTTAGAACTTTCTGTTCAGGTCACACTGATCCTGCTGCTAAAAAGGGAATCTTCAGCCAAAAATATAGCTTTGAAAATTAAGGAGAGAAAACATAAGGATACCAGAGAACTATCTGAACAATGTACATAAGCAAATATTACAGCCAAATGTAAACAAAGATATATAGCAACAATAGTAAGACTGTTGGTCAACATGAGACCAAAGGATGGTCTCATGTTGGCTAAGGTGTTAGCTAAGGAGGATTAGCCAAATATTAATTAAGAGTTTACACAATAATTTGCTAATAATTGATACTGGAATGGAAGAGAAAAAGAAAGGCTAAATATTAGCTCAGAATATGGTATAAATGAACAGTATAAAATAGCTCTATATCAGTAAATTAGGCAAATTAGTGGTAACTAAAATGAGCCAAATGCAAGGCCAGTGGAAGCTGAACATTAGTCGAAATATAAATAAGGACTAAAGAATGAGCTCGATTGGCCAACACACCTGAGGTAGTAAAAATGTACCAAAAAGTGAAAAAAGTCTAAATGGCTAAAAGCTAGCCAACAATAAAGCAAAACATATGAAGTGAAAGGAGTTAAAAAAAAAAAAGACCGTTAGACTAAGACTAAAATATTCACCAGTCATAAAGAAAATTTAAACCATATTTCTTCCTTCCTCTTCTCCAAATGAGCTTTAATCAGCTGTCTGGGTGT